TTTTTTACAAAGCACGCCGTGGGTTTGGATTACCCCGAAAGTAAGAGCAATGACGGATGTGATATAGTTATGCATACGTAGCATTTATCAGCCATGCTAATGGTGGTGTAATGGGCAAAATTATACAAGAAGGAAGTCGGAGAAAATAAAATGTGGGAGAAATTAGGCGAAAAAAAGAAGTTGAAGAAAGAGGGAGAGAGAAAGTGAAAGAACGAGTGGAAGAAAAAAAAAAAAAAGAGAGAAAAAGTGAATGGAAGATGATGAGAGAAAAATGAACGTAAGGGGGCTACAAAAAAGTGAAAGAACATAATGAAAGAAAAAGTGAAATATAGAGAGCGATAAAAAATGAAAGGAAATGAATACTAACGATTATGATAAAGATACAAGTACCAACACAAAATACACTAGCAGTGATAAAAAAGAATCAATTGAACATAAACTTGACAAAGCTAATGAATATTCAATCATTGCATGTTCATTTCCCATAATTTGCGATTCAATGACTGGTGATCCATACTAATTCAGTATTTACAAGCTACTAAGTAATATGAACGCCTACCACAATGACATAATTACACAGTGCTCACTTTTCCATGACAAGGCACCATTATTCGCCAAATAGAATGTGTGTTTAGTTACAGCTGTGTTGATGAAGCACTAACATCAATCACCCAAAATTGGTTGCTGAATGTTTTATTCTCATCATTGTGAGATTCTGACTGACAATAAAATTACAATGGAAGCTACTTACACTGTGATATTTTTTTATGTGGTAGAGGACTAAAGAGAATCATTTAACTATTTAGTGCCCGAATTACCAGCGTTTTTATGTGCATCTTGAAGCTCAAAATGGATTACACTGACATTTCACTCCAGAAAGAGACAGACACACATACCAGATTACTATTCAGGACTCAAATAAACTTGGTATACTCACTCTCTCACCTTATGTTTCAATATACACGATCCTTACTGTCTATCCCTTAAATGATAGTCTTAGTGGTGGCAGTAATATTTGTATGCTATTTATATACACCCCTTATTATCTATCCCTTGAATATTAGTCCTAGTGGTGGCAGTAATATCTATATACAGTGTGACAATCGGGGAAACTTGAGGGTTACTGCAGCATCACTGGAATAATAAGGGTAACAGTAATATCAATATTGATATTTACGATGCGGACGATAATTATATTGTTACTACTACTGTCACTCTGTATGACAATTAAAAATGATGATAACTGTAACCCTTGTTGCAAGCGAGGTACCCTATAGCGAGGTTTTGGTTAATTAATTCAATAAGAGACGGATGAAAAGGGTAGCTTAGCATAGATAAAGATATTTCTTTTTGAGTTTATCGATTATCATATAAAAGGCAGTCATCTGACATTATTACAAGCGACTCACAGACAATGCATTGTACTTAACAATAGCACTGTTGACTTAAATTGGCATTCTGAGATCGTTGCACAGTCTCTAGATATAGGGGTCTATGTACAATGGATAAATGACTTCTAACATACAATGTACAAAGCTTAGTGAACTGGGTAGTTTATTATCATCATTTTGATTATCATCATTGTCACTAATTGTTATTATTATTATTATCATTTATGATAATGATAATGATAATTAATAAATAATAATTATAATAATAATATTATGATTATTATCATTATTATTATTATTGTTATTAGTAGTAGTAGTTATTGATATTAGTATCAGCATCATCATTATCATTATTATTGTTATTATCTTTATTATTGTTGGTTATCATCATCATCAATAAAGGTACATGGTCTGAAGGTTTGATTGTGTGCATAATTGTACTACCTGTAGATACTTTCGGAAACCCTTACTGACAAAAAGTATTTACAGCAATCATAATGATGATAGTAATGGTAATGGTAGTGACGTGAGTGCTGACAATCCGGCTAATGTTAATGGTAATATCAATATATATGCTTAAAACTACTGACGATAATCCTTGTAATACCAGTCCCATTGTTCAATATTTAATGAAGAAAGTGACTAAAGCTAAATATATAGCACTACTGTTAGCGTTAATAACATTAGCAGTAATCATGAAATAACTCAAGAGATTAGTCCATGTATAGAGTTCTGCTTCGATAACGTAGAAACTCAGACTCTATATGAAATGAGAAATGTCATTTGCATACGTGAAGGCCCAATATGAACATGGCTGGATGAACTAACCAAAGCGAAAACAAGAAACTATGAAATAACTGTTACCTTTCTAGTACCATAAAAAAAAGAAAAAAAAAAAAGAGAGAGAGAGAAGAGAAAGAGAGAGAGAGAGAGAGAGAGAGAGAGATAGAGAAAGAGATAGAGAGAACAGAGAGACAGAGACAGGGAGAGAGAGAGAGAGAGAGAGAAAGAGAGAAAGAGAGAAGAGAAAGAGAGAAAGAAAGAGAGAAAGAGAGAAAGAGAGAAAAGGAGAAGAGAGAAGAGAAAGAGAAAGAAAGAAGAGCAGAGAGAGAAGAAGAGAGAGAGAGAGAGAGAGAGAGAGAGAGAGAGAGAGAGAGAGAGAGAGAGAGAGAGAGAGAGAGAGAGAGAGAGTCTGCATATATATGTGTATCCACAAACACATAAATGCTTTAGTGTATGTGTGTGTGTTCTGACAATATACGATAACTATTTTGATGTGAAAAAACAAATTTCTACGATTATTTTTGTTGCAAATGTCTTATTCTTTACGAAATGGTTCCAAAGGTTTATTAAAAAATCAAAAAGGTCATTTATAGATTATTTAATATTCTAGCGCGCTTATAATTAGTTGGTATCGTAACAGGTTTGATTTATCTATATATGTGTACAAATACATCAACACAAATACATTTAGATGATGGCAAATATATGTGCAACAATTTACTAAATGATGATGAATATGTATATAACTCTCCTGGTGAAATA